ATATATATTAAGTTCTTGGCTTCCATTCTGGATGGTGCAGGTGCTTAGCGCTTTACAAGGCGGGGCCTTTGAAATTGACCGTGCAACCGCTAGAGCTTTGGTTTTTTCATCACACACAACCTCTGGATACACTGTTGTATCAATTACAGTGATCTCAATGATAGCCTATAACGTGCTCAGTTTAATTTCCACACGAGTATCCGTGGAATATATCAACGAACCGTCCCTACGTGCTTTTTCTCGTTTTGTGAGAAACAAAGTCAAAAGGATCACCAAAAATTCACATGACAAACGGAAAAAACATCGCGCTGGCTGGAAAGTTGCAATTGAGCGCCGAAACCTGAAGAGCAGTGGTTTTCCGATCAGTTTGTCGTCGAATATCTGCTCAATTCTTTCTAAGCCATCGGACATCGGTCTTCTGATTCACCAAGGAGAGTACTCAAAAGTTGTGTGCTACTTTTCCAAGAACCTTGGTTACAAGAATCCGTCGAGGATGAATTGGTTCAGATCGAAGGCTTCCATTTATTTTGAGCAGATAAACCTCCAGGAAGGAAAACTAAAGGCGGAGGCGTCATCAGTTATATGTGCCTCTCGTGCTGTAACTCCAACAAATGCATATGTACTCATTGCACACAAAGCATTTCTTGTAGTTCTGTGGAATGTAAACCACGTTTTCTCCTGTGTCACTCTTCGATCATCTTTCCAAACCTCTAAATCACTCCTGACTCCTAGTGAGTTGTCTACCTTCTTGGATGTAGTCTATCCAATCATGTTGGAGAAATCTGTCACATCTGTATTCATCGCTGCTGGCGATTTCAACAGATTTGATGTGAGTTTTTACACACTTATGTCCTTTCAGAACATTGTTACTTTTTCCACTTGAAATGATGCCTCCTTGGACCACTTTTGCGTTAACGAACCATCTTTTTCCGTGCCTTCAAACGTGCAGCAGTAAGCAATTCCCATCAGTCTGTTTAAAGTTTTACCTACAATATATGGTAAATGCAAGCAACAAATCCTGATGAAGAACGATGCACGTAAGATACGCTTACGACAAAATCATCTGACCAATTGAATGAAATTAAAATCCATGATTGGTGGTACGGACTTACAACAACTCTTCGATCCTGATATTTCAGTCTTCTGTGAGAACCTTACCAATTACCTCAACTATTGTTATGATATGTGCTGCCCTCAAGAAAGGATTCACCTGCAGCCAAACTGATTCATCTCCGATAGACTGAAATAGTTACGAAGGCTGAAAGAAAGGAAGTATCGCTCGGGAGATGGACTGACGGTCAAATCTGTCAACTTCCACATCAGAAGTGAGATAGCACATCTCAGTCAATTGTATACTGACACTGTGCTAGCAGACAAATCCTGCCGTCAAATTTGGAAGGGACTGAAGTTACTCTGTGGTCGTTCAACTTTACCTACTACAGTCTCATGTGACTTCAGTGAGCTCAACAAATCATTTGCTTCAGTGAAAAACGTTGTGCAAGCATTACCGAATCCAAACACAACGTCACTTGAGTTCCACCTTCCTGTGTCTGTCACCATAGAGCAAGTTCTAAAGGAGTTAAATGCTGTCAATGAAAATAAATCCGCTGGCCCTGATGGGTTATCCCCAGTGGTCCTTAAAACATGTGCAAATCACCTCACACAAACCGTTTCATTTATTTTTAATATATGTCTGTCAGAAGGAAGACTAGTTAACACGTGGGTAAGTTTTGGCCCATTGCTTCATCTTCAGTATAACTTATGACTTTTGATCGTATCATCATTAAGCACCTATCCTCTCTAATCTTGATTTTCGTGATTCCAATCAGTTTTCTTATTTTAAGCGTCGCTCTACTTTAGATGCGGTTGCTTGTCTTATACATTCTATTTTATCCACTATAAACCAAAAACACAAAATTGTTCATGCTTGTTTCTTGGACTACACAAACGCTTTTAATTCTGTCTACGGAAATATCTTTTTGACACTGTTACGGCGAAATAATCTTCCGCCACATCTTTTGAATTGGATGCACGACCATTTTACCGATCGACGCCAATTCACTTGTCTCGATGGTATTAGGTCTTCTACTGTTACTGTAAACCAGGGTGTAATGCAGGGAACAATTTTATCCCCTTTTCTGTTATCTTTTTATATCCAAAATTTGCCAGTCCCCCCAAATGTTTTCACTTTTAAATATGCCGATGATATAGTAGTTGGTGGTGCATCTCACAAAAACAACCCTTCAACTAACCTCCTTCAATCAGCCATAAGTTCCATTTCTGAATGGTCCGATAAATGGTCCAATAAATGCATTGAAGTTTTGTTTTCTATTGATCGTAGGTGATCAACTCTTTCTGGATCATCCGTTCCCAATATCTTGATCAATAACTTAAAAGTTGAAAGGTCAAAACACTTCAAATATCTTGGATGTTCTGTGTCTGCTAACCTCAGATGGTCCTATCACGTAGAACAAACATTTCTTAAAGTCAGAAAGTTGACCTTTACATTTGACGCCTTCGGCATCTGAGGGTGCCATTGCACATCATCTCCAAATTTATTTTCTCATGCGTTTTATGCTATTGGACCTCCTGCTCTCCCGTTATCTTCCCCTGTCTACTGTTTAAGGATTTTATATTAATTAGACGCTCTCTGAAAAGCATCTCTAGATATGGAGCTGTATCTTATTATCAACCAATACCTGAATGCGTGTGCCCGTCGGTGTGACTCCATCTTGTTCGATGCGTCACATCCCTTACACACAGCTCTGTCTAGCTCCATTTCAACTTCTGTAACCCGCAATAAATTTAAACCTTTATATACTCCTACCACTGCTTTTCGCAACTCCGTGGTACCTTACCTTTCACGTTTGTTCGTTTCTAGGAAGCGAATATCAAAAAACTCATACACAGTCTAATATAAATTTCCACGTTGACATTTTCCTTATTTCTTTACTCATTCTTGGTGTCCGATTGATTATCATCTCAGTAATTATTTGTCATATCTTAAAGCTGACTTTTAATAGCGCGCAATGCCAAAGTAAAAGCGAGAACCTTCTTTCCCCTGAAAATTCTGTCCACATTGGATGAATAAAGTGCGCTCTTGGCTTGAATTGACTTTACTTGCTAGTAATAAGTTATTGTAAAGTTTACAACAAATCACTTTGATCTCGTTCCATTAAATAAGACGGCCATGTGTATTATATCGCCTGGGAGCGAATCCGCGATATTCCCGTTGAAATGTTAGTTTCTTTCCCAGTTTGACGATGAGTTGTCTTTCACGAATTTTATAGTTGATTTTCTAACTTCATTTCTTCTAAGCTTAAACTTAGAGGTCTCCAGTGGTTCATTCAATAAACACTGCATGTTACATGGCAGTAAATAAAGTAAATAAAGTAAATAAATAAATAATAAATACATTCATATTGACATGGCCGGAATGATATTAAATTGCGAAAAGGTTGTTCTTCTAAAGAACTGCTCATCTATTCTTTTATTTTATTTTATTTGCGTGTTGGATTTGAGCTCATCTGTTAGTCGTGCAGAGCTAGAGAAACTAGTGGCTTATTTTCTGTAACTCCAAAAATCTTATATACTCGTCCAGTTTGTAGATTTTTAAATCACGTCCACATACAGCTTTTCAGTGGTAATAAGTTTAAATTTTTCAGTAGGAGTTCGGTTAATACTTCCAACCTCCACAACATACTCTGTTTGCTTCTGATCTTAGTCTAGCCCCTGCCTGCATCGATAAATGTCTTTTACCGAAAATATCTGTCCACTAATGTATTTTACACAATCAACAAAATCTACGAGGTTTATATGTTTGGGTCTTTGTAGGATGCCGACAACCGTATGCGCTTAAACTTGCTTCGAAAATGCTTTTTCAGCTGTATATTTATATTAATACAATGCTACCGAGTTAGCAACGTATAATCTCCGACAATCTCCCTCATAGATTTGCACACCATAGATCTACATTGTACTTCCGAAACATTGAGGAGGAAAGGTTAGTGACAGTTAACAGGAATGGTGCTGTTTTCGACTTACCAGATATACCTTTTTGCTATAATTAACTATACCTGAACCAAATATTGGTCAAATTTCAAATAAGCTGATGGCATTAGCATTACTTTCTCAAGTTCTACTCAATCAGAGCTTCAATCGTTATACATCTGCCTATATCGCTCCCATTTTTTCACACCATTATTCAGTTTTTTGAATGCATTTTTACCTTGAGCCAGCTGACTTTGCACAGAACAAAATCCATTAGCAGGTTCAAGCATGTGAAAGTAACAAACTTACATTCGTGGTTCATAAGAACGGAGACAGTTGCCCGCAATGTGCCAAATCTTTCCTTCTTCCTGGGAAGACGGCAACGCGTTTACCTCGACCAATCAGTGATAAGGACTTCTGTTCAGAATTGTATTCTACTTTTAAGGTCCATTTGTAACGTTTATGAAGTTCCCGAGGGTTGAATTTAATTTGGCAACCTAAAGCCCAACTGCTGACAAGAAACACTTTTGATACATTTTTCAAATTCTCCAGCACTATCCACGCATTGCACAAAGACCTGTTCACAAATGTATGCCATCCATCTGTCAATTCGTTTTAAATACCGATTTTTCGATTTTTGCATGCGACCTCCCGGATATCTTCTCTTCTCTGAGGCTGGTTGACAACCTGAAAGTTTATTTCTAACTTATCAATCCGTTCCGCGATAGTTCCCCATTTTTGTTGGTGAAGAGTTGCGTTTTCGAAACTGGAGGCGAAGTGCTTTCTTTTTTATTGAAAACGAGTGCATAACTCGCCAAGGCTTGAATACAACTATAAACAGAGTTGCAATTTCCNNATAGGATGGAGAAGCTTTTCGTATTCAGGTTAATCACAAGTTTGAAGCGAATTCACAGAGCCTTTCAGTGTTTCAGTCAAAAATAAATTCTTTCCTGGACTCGCAATAATAGAAACAACTTTGTTTCTTTTATGCCTCAACGCTCAACTTTCAGCTTCCCCTTGGTTTTGGAGTGGCAACTTCCATCCGACTAGGTCAATTTCTGGGAGCCGGATCCTCCGTGGGTCCAAGATCTGTGCTCTCGGTGGCGCTTGTCACACTATGTGAGTTCTGCCGACTCCGGATGAGCTGATGACGGGCTAAACTATGATTTATTTCAGGGTCTGCCTCGCTGGTATTTATCGTCATCATTGTGGCTCTGCGTTGGCATATCCCGAAAATATTTACTTCAGAAGAGTAAGTATTCTGTTTTGTTTTTCTCCCTATGCGCTATTTAAGTGAAAAAGTGACTGAAGTTTTCTGCAACACAAAACATGTTTAACTGGTTGGAACGCATCTAACTAGCAAACCCAGTCAGATTTCTGAGATTTGTGATATAAAACAAACTTTTAGCTAATCATCAATGTGTTTCTTAGTCTCGTTTCACTTCCCGCAACTTTTTACGGAAAATCAATGACTGCCATTGGTAACTAATCATCTAAAATTAAATGTACCATGCCTTCCTATAACAACCTATAACAACGATTACACTACGGTAAAATCAGATAGTAGCGTTGAATCAAACAGAAACGTGTGCTATCTAATCTCCTTTATTCAGTTGAAATCTCGATAAGCCTGACTGCATCTAAAACTGTATTTTCATTTGCATCACGCTATTCCTGGTCACGCCAGCTTTTACTTTCTACCTGTTGCTTTTTTTACCTTGGTTGCGAATTTTCGCACCACTAATTCTTATTGTATTCCATGTTCTTTTCATATACAGGGGTGTTATCGAACTCTCTGCCAAAATTCTACCACTATTGGCAGCATTTCAGATATTTGATGGTACAGTGGTGAGTAACACTGTTGTTTGATCACGCTTACTCATACATTATCATCATTATCACCCCTGTCATTATTCGAAATTTCGTTACATCGATTCCCTCGACTTTTCTCCCCCACCCACCCACCCACCCACCCACCTCGCTTTCTTTTTCGAATCAAAGGGAGTTTGCAGTGGAGCTATTCGAGGAGCCGGTTTACAGCTAATCGGTGCAGCCGTATGCTTTGTCACCTTGTACGTGATTGGAGCACCGGTGTCTCTGTGCATGGTGTTTCTGGCCAAATACGAGCTAGAAGGTACGTATAGTGGCCGATCAGACTGTCCGGGTTTATATTCGTGTATGTTTCATTGGGACAGACGTGTTTTAGAACAATTTATGCAATCTGGAAAGAAACTCTATACACGTACTATGTATGGATGAAAAAATGTTTACTTGCAAGGCGATCCAACCAAACTTTTGTTCAATTACATGATTGTTATATGGAGGTGGTAGGTTCAGTTGAGGGGTTGTTCAGACAGTAAATCGTTCAGCAAATTGAATCGGGATTAAGATTTATTCGTTATCACTTGTTTCCATCCGAGCTTGCGTGTTAAGCACCCGAATGCGTGATCCGCTGACCAATAACGCATTCTTGGAATTTCGAGAGCCTAACACATGTTCCTTTGTCTCTGCAGACAGAGCTCAAGATTAATAATTCGTGTGTCATTCTCTTTGACCTTCACTTTATGATTTTAAGAATTCGGTTGCCTTGGGCTTGTTCAGTGAAACCGTATCTAGTACCATAGATTGAATCTATCCCCTTGTTTAGGTTTTACACGCCTCGAACGTTACCCACGGGGACGTTTCATTTTATGGCAGAAACATGTGTAAGAAGACTCCCGAGTACTGATGTGATTACGACAGCAAAACAGAATTTATCGATTTCGACTGTACAAATGAAGCACATAGCTCTCCGTGAAACTACAAGTGTTCTATGCAAGAGAAACCAAATCGGAACCTCATTTGGTTCCAACTTGTTTCGATATTAAACTCAGGAAAAGATGCTTGTTTACATGGAATTTTCTGCAATCACTTTCGCTGTTTGGTTTTTCAAAGTGAGTTGGCGAAAATATTTTATCCAGGAAATTCTCTGGTCTAATCATAGAATATGCATTTCTGACTAAAGAGACAAAGTGTATTTCATTAAATATCACAAAATGGTTTGTCATTTGTTATCCTTTTTACAATTTTCTACTCAACGATGGAAACTAGTATAGTTTCACTTATATTTCAAACGCTTAGCAATAATCTCCTGTGGAATACGCTGGTGTCACCACATGAACATAGAGCTTCCAATTTGAGCTATCAACTACCTGAGCTACCCCTCAAAAATTCTCTTCTACAATGAAGTGAATATCGCATTAAAATTTCATACACATATTGTTTCCTTCTATAAGAGAGAGAATAAGTATATTCACAAAACAGGTTGAATTCATATATTTCACGTTATGCCCTCAGTCGTACACGAACATTTTATTGGAGGCTCAAACAGAACAGTACAAATTTAAAATTCAAGATCACCAGAATATCAAAATCAATGTGAAAGTCACACTTGAGTTGGACAGAGTAGGAGGCGGAATAACATGCTTATTGATCAGAACCACTGTGATGGCTCTACAATGGTAGATCAAGACTAGCTACATATTCTAGTTAATTGTCGAGTTCTGGTTTGAAATTGACTAGCTATGACCGCCATATACACGACGAATTCCCCTTTGAAATTGAATCAAGTCCTCCATTACTCACACGAAATAAGTAATCAGGTTGTGACTGTTTCCAACTGAGTCATAACCCCGAAGGCTAGTGCTGAGATGAGCGAAGTCGGTGGCCTGCAACAAGCTAGCAAAGATGGGTTGTACGTTATCGTGTAAGTGGAAAATGGAAAATGGAAAACAGTCTGATCAGCTGCCCGGTGACCGAATGGACTGTATGCTTACGTTCTGCTCTTGAGATCCTGGGTTCAATCCCCTGTTGGATTGATGGATTTGCACTGCAATGAAACCCAGGCAGGTCAAAACAGCTGTCCAGTGCTTCCTAGCTTTTCAGTTTACGATTCATTTTCGAAACACACGACGAATTCCCCTTTGAGATTACTCAATTATCTGCTGCAAATCAGACCAAACGGAAACCAAGTGACGGATTCCATTATTGTAAATATTTTTTTCTCATCTTTTCAATAGGTCTCTGGGTTGGACTAACTCTGGGCACAGTGTTGGAAGGTGTATTCTATTGCATCATTACCCATACTATCAACTGGGAAAAACAGGTGCAACTGGTAAGTTGATAATAACTATTGTTTCGATTGGACAGTACTCCGCACTTATGTCATTCTCTCGTTTAAACTAATGAAAGACATCCTATGTTCTTTTGTATGGCTTTCCATGTTCTTCAGTTCATTGAGAGTGCCCGGAGAAGGGGGAAATCGGGTAGCATTTAATCTGTAGAGAAAATGATTGCCGATGATGTCACCGTCTCAAATTAAAATTTTCGGGAACGAATAAAAATCGGTTGACATCTCAACGGTGATAGCGACGTGAACTTTTGTACCGGATGTTTTCAGTTCAGTTGTACCTTTTAGGGAAATTCTTACCAATAAACTTATGGGTCGTGGTGAATCAGTGGTTTGGTCGCAGTCACTGGCGTGCTTTAGACCCTGTGGTCCGAGGTTCGCGCCCCGCCATCACCACCCAATTTTGGTGGTATGCAGCTTTGCAGTCGTCCGGTTCAATACCACGCCTAACCTATCGAGGCCTTATGTGGTTCGTCACTCCAAGACCCGAGACTTAGGTTGCCAGTTTCTATCACTGAACATCAGGTCCTCCTAACTTTGGGGTTCGCCCCGTCTGCTGTCCATTACACTAAGGTGTGTAATAAAAAAGTAGCCGTCTGAATTTATCCTGGTAGTGTTAGTTTATGTTTTTATTTCCACAGTTCTTTCCTAGTTAAAAGCAAACCATATTCCACCGAAAACTGCGTAGCAGTGCTCAGGCTTAAACAATCATACTCAATCGTTTTTGTTCACATAAATGTGGATCAGTAATGCCTTTACTTGAAGGATAGCATACATAAATGTGGCTTTTCGCAGACGTTGGTTATTTAGTCCACTTGTCTTCTATCGCTCTCTGATCAGGCACAGGAACGAACTGTGAAAGTTATGGGCAAACAATCAAAAACGCTGTATTACAATGACGTTTTCACAAATGCAGGATATATTTCAGAAATCGGTGAGGAACCAAATGATCTGGTTGCGAATGACGGTAAGCAAATTGTTTTCCTGGAGTTTGACAAAATAAATTGGCATTTTGTGAAATAAGACAAACGAACGATCGGTGTACTTTAAGTGTTTCACTTGAATCCAGTACCCAGGAAGGAATTCTTCGTGAGCCTTGATAATTCAATTATTACAGAAGTTAACCTTCAGTCATTTTTTTTACGCTTAGCGTTAAAAACCGCAACCTTGACTTTAAGCATTCGGAATATCTTACTGAATTTCCAAGATTATACATAGAAGTGTGGGTCAGGAGTTGGCAGTGTAGGATTTGGCGATGCTTTTTACGATAGATTCATAGATCTGAACAAAAGAATAGAACCATAATCTCGTTCTATACTTAACGAACTTCAGATAAACGCTGGGATCGAAAAAATTACACAAGCTTTAGGATCCTCTGAGTATCAAAAAAACCTCTATCTAATAGACTCATATTTTACAAGGTCGAATTGTGTCATTTAACAATCGGACGGTGTCTTGACAACGAAGGTTAAAGTGAATACTTTGAGAAAAAATGGGATTTACGAAAACGCGAATAACCCTCATCGTTTGAATTCTCCTCATTCTAGCTGCACTCTTGAACGAAGGGCTCACTTCCTCTAAGCCTTCCCTTGTTGGATTACCCAAAATACGATTGACCATATTGATTTGCTTGGTATTAGTCTGTAATTCACCACTGAGGATTTATCGATACCTAATAATTCTTGAATAGTATTCAGGTTGCACTATTTCAAGTCCGGTCGTAACTCTAGGGAGATTGCTGAGATACGCGAGGTGCGAAGAGCACAGTAAGCTGGCAAACATTAATGTGCTATATCGTGCGGAAGCAAAGTGGAAAAGGTTCGATCAGCCGCCCAATATTCGAGTGGCTAGTGTATTACTTGTGAGGTCACGGGTTCGATCCCCTGTTGCGTCGATAGATTCGCTCTGCTGATAAGACCAAATTAGGTCGAAACATTAAAAGATTATATTTTTATGATCCAAACCTAAAATGAAACTCCACTCTTTCTCTCTCTCTCTGAACGCATACATATGCTTGCAGGATCTCTGACACTACCCGTCGTACAACAAGAGGATCTCATTAATGAAGAAATTCGTTATGTGAGCGGTAGAAAAATGCTCATTCTGAAACGTCTCATCCTCGTAGTTATCCTCCTCGGAATGATCATCATCAGCATTTGTTGTCGTTTGTTGATCCCATGGTCCAGTGTGCTGGGCACATTCTGTATCCTACCGAATGGATCATTCTATCGCGTTAACGGGACAAATGTGACCGAAAATTGTACCATGGTTATCATGTGATAAAAAATTCAGGCCACATAAGATACCGCGTCGTTCCGAATCGTTCCACGTATGATCTCACTCGAGGACCGGACCGAACGGGAATACAAGTCAACCACAAATGATCGGTTCAAAGCTTTTATTTACACCATTTTTCCTGTTTTATTTGAACATCCAGTTGTGCATCACATTGTGTATACAAACATTTTAATGAGTCATTGGACTATGGAACTTTTCATACATTTTTTGCTCGGGGATCTACTCCGCTCATGCATTCATTTCATTTGTATTATTCACGAACCAAATACCGTACATCACAGATAGCCCCCTCCCCCAACACACACTTTGTCATATATATATATATATATAATAGTGAAATAAACAATTCTCATCACTATTGTTCACTCACTTGATTCTCCTCAAACACACTGCCACAGACGTCTGTATTGATTGATGAATATTTGAACCCGACTTTGATGTCCATTACTTTGCATTGCAATTCTTTGTATCATTTCTCTTGTTTTCTTTACGTTTGATGATGTTTTACGGTGTTTCACTTTTGCTGTCCTAATAACCGATTCGGTGGATTTGATGGGGCTAATGAAGCTGATTCTTACAATAACGATTATAAAAGGCAAAACTTTACTGATGATATGATATTTATGTTTGTATAGTCTACTATTCAGCAAAATCAGATATTTCCAAAAGAACATTTATACTTACGCATACAAATTGTGCTAGTGAAAGATTTTACTTCTTACATATCGTATTGGGCAATAACAATAAATTTCATTCAAACAGGGGCCAGATTATTAATGACCTAAGCAGTTGTTAGATAGCCAGTTTTGTGCACGCGAAAAGTTCGGCAGATTGGCAAAATCAATGAGATGTGAAGAAATGACAAAAGAACAACGTTTAAAGTGAACCACTGATAAATAGCAAGCGATGGAATGGGAGTGATTGGGCGAACGGAGAATTCTTTGGAGTGAAAAATAAGCCTTTCCATGGTCTTGGTAAGGCTTGGACATACGTAATTTGCATAATTCTTATTTTAGAACCCTGTGAGGTTGGTGATTTTCTGAATTCTATCTTGTAACTGGTTGTATGGCGCCTGGAAAGAGCCGCATCTGAGGCGATTTTATGTTGCTTTTCTATCAGATGTTACGGGATTGAGCTGGTTTATTTTCTCACTGTTTCATTTTAAAGAACGTTTAGATGTCGTTGAGTTAATCTTTTGGACAAGCATCTCTTTGAAGGGCCAATGCAACGAGCGCTACGGGTGTAGTTTTACTCACTGAACAAAATAAAGATCATTTAGGCAACTTATAATTGACCTATTGAACAATGATGGACTCGTTGTTCGACGTGACATTAAAATGTGATGCTACAAACCAGTAGGAAATAGCATTTGATTGCCAGTGCTCCAGGATCTCCAACAACCTGTCTAGGTTGAAAAACGCCTTATATATACCCATGTAGAAAGAAAATGGGTAGTGGGGGCGATGAACTGCAAGTTGTCAGGGTTAGTCTCACACATGGCTAGGGCGGATGCAGAAAACACCGTGATGGCTGAGGCACTTTAGTTCTAAGTAAACCGTTTTTCTACAGAAAAAGGTAATAAATCAATAAACCATAAATTCGAACAAACTTACGACTAGGCCCCTTGACGCCAGCGCACAGTGTAATGACCACAGGAGGGTTTATCTAAAACGCAGGTCTTCTATCCGAAAATGGAAGACCAGGAGTTAGTCAGCAGCAATTATCCATCAGTCTCGACCAGCCAGGCACATGTGCGGATTGGCGGGAAGAAGGCGACGTAGAGACGAAAACTTGTATCATACGTGTCAACAATAACGTACAACCGAGAGTCAAAGGGGGGTAGTCGGGGTCATATATATATGTTCGTGAAGGATCAAGATCACAGGGGGGTTAGGTAACGGGTAGGTTCATGTTATTCAACTTCTCTGCCTCGTATGTTCTTGAGAGATGACATCTGGAAGCAGAGAGAGAGAGATACGATTAGTTATGGTGGACATTCATCACTGCAGTCGATTTCAAACATGGCGGTATGAAATGGCGTTTAAAACTGTGATAAATTGAACTAAAAAAATTGTACCGTTTTAAACACAGAAAAAAACACAACAGTGGTAAGAAGTTATTAAATTAATTAATTAATTAATAACGTTAGTCAATGATTATTGACATTTATATGTAAACTACTTAAATATTCATAGTAGTCAAATTGCAAGGGCTGAAACATTCAAATTCCACCAAATAAATGTTTTTTTTTCAGTCTTCAACAGTATTAAGATATCTAGTCTTCTTTGTAACGTGGGCTATACAGTTTCCAATTCTGTGAGCTAGGTAGTACACCAAATTTCGCATATCTCTCTTAGAGGAAAAGCGCAGAAAGTGTATATACGTTCATACGCCCATGCATGTACACAATTCCCATCTCTCAGCTGAGCCACCATTCTCTTGACAAAGCCTGATATCAAGACAAGCGAGATTTTTGTTTCGGTCTCCTCTGGGAACGTGATGCGCACTCATGCGCTAAATGAATTACGTGCCTCACTGTTTCATTTTTTCCTATCGAATACCAAATGACACAAATTCAAACTATTGATAAGAACTCTCAATAGCCCATATTCAATCTTACCTTGACATATATCTACCAATGATAATCTGCTAGCCACAACATATTTTTACTATTAGTGTTCAAATATTATACACTTCGTGTGGATCTCAAGAAACAAATAGTTGAACTTTACCGCCGGAATGCCTTTTTGGATATCGTTTCCAGATATACATGGCAGATATTCCCATTTACAACGCTGATAGATTTTTACACCACCATCAGCAATCACACTAAAACATTTATATTTTGCGAAACCTATTCATTGTTGATCTAACCAGAAAATACAAACGCATCTTTCATACAATTTTCGAAACAGTAATAGACAAACTTACCACCCGATTTCGATTAAGTCTGATACTGAGAGTGATCGTAATCTCAGTTCATTGTGTACGTAAACCGTCCACCCACCAACCCCTAAGAAAACTTACTAAGTGAATGAGAGACCTGTTGAATCACATCAAATGATGAATCAAAAGCCGCGGATACCAGTCGACTCCCGTATTATATACCAGTAAATGTCAACCCAGTTCTTATATATTTTTTCTGATTCAGACCAATGCAAAACGTCTTTGATCTCATGTCAAAGTACATAGCAAAAATCAAATTCCTGAGTAAAATAATAGACTCAAACTTTCTCTTCTCGTCATTCTATGCTATCCACTATGAATCCTTATTCCTATCCCAATAAACATATCGACGTCTTCAATATTTTCATCACAATCTCATTTTGGAGTTTCTCCATCGTTACTTGAACGGATCACATTTATGAAAACCTGTGAATTCACAACTGGGTAAAGTCCCAATTCAGAATCCCTCGCTGTCAACTTCGGGTCAGTCAGAATGCTATTCCTACCGCTTCTTTCTTTCGTTTCTCTTTCTTGAGTGATCAAATATGGGAGAAAATTTTGTGGTCAAGAAAACCGATAATATTGCGGTTTAATTAAAATGACCACTAATTTTTCAATTTTTCATCTCCTTTCACCTGCGCTCTCCGTTGTTGAATACCTTATTATAACGTAATTGTCATTCAATTAAACCATACCCTGTCGCATGTCATTTCGTTGAAGTTAATAACCCATTTTAAATGTACCGTAGCTAAAAAGTGAAGCGCATTAACGATACGCCTATTGTTTCGAACATATGTCTATACATATTCAGATGTCACGCTTCCTAGGAGAAACATATGAGAGATTATCAGCGGAATTATGCGCAGAGTTTTCTTTTTGGTATTTCAACCAGAATTATCACAAATCCCTCATTCAATTAATGGTCATCTCCATTTGGTATTCATTTGAGTGTATTCGAAATATTATGTTTCATACTATTCTGCGTTAGGTTAGTTTATAATTCCTCACTCAGACACGTCAAAACAGTCGCAATTCATCGTTAACCAAAATTTCACTCCTTGCCTTAACTTCAGTGAACCTGTTTAATTATCGTGATATGGAATGTTTACATACTCATCTTTGCTCAGACAGAACTCGACAGTAAATATAAGCTATCTGCGCTGCTGAGTACAGAAAGTTTGTTTTCGCCTTTTTGGATTTCTCGTCAAACCGAGTCAGTGGTTTGTAAACTGGGTTAAGCGGTAGGTAGAATTGCATTGTCGCATCAATCTACCTTTTCCCCTGCGTTCATCCTTTTAACTCTAAACTACGGTAATTGGTGTTAAAGAAATTCCCGCAGATTATTACTGTTATTTTATATCCACCTTTGGAGGATAGTGATTAGGTGGTTTAAGTCTCTCCATCTAGCGTGCGTCTACCTCTAACGAATGAAGTTCAGACCATTTGACAATCAACAAACTTTAGCGGTAGCACCTTTGCTTTCATCTGGCTCAGTATTAACTCTATTCTAGAACAGCCTTACGCTGTTAGACACCTGAACCTGTTGATGCATTTATCAGTTGTATCATGAACTTAACCTTCCGATTTGCGCTTTTAGCTTAACCAAGATTTTGTTGGAAGTTGAACTTCTTACTCGTTTGTAAGATGTCTGTGGTGATTGCTCATGAACTATGAACTCTTTTGTTTTATTGTACACGACATCCTTGTATATTTCTAATTTCCACCTATTACAATTCCATTCGGCCTCTGAGTTAACTTCTGATTTCGTTTCGAGTCCTAGTTCTGGGTCGGACTACTAGTGCGCGGAATCCGATACGTATACGAAATACTAGTATGAGTACGAACCACAATAATGTCCTAATCCCGTTGTGCTCCTGCTTCATGTAACTAGCTGACATCATTCGTACTCCGGCAGTTGTGTCCCGCGGTATTGCCCGAACAACAACCTGCGGCTTTAAATTAACAGACTGATTTACACAATTATAGACAGTTAAAGAAGAAGCAATAATAAGATTTCTCGAAAATCACTGGAAAAT